ACTGAAAACAAACTTAGACCCATATACCATTATATGTCTTCTAATTTAAACAATACTGAAAGTCGATTGTACCAAAGATACGAGTATAATTTGTATTCATTACTCCCTCCGTTCCTTTTTATATGTCATCAATTTCTATAAATAGTTGAACCATATTACTTGTCATTTCATAAAATCAATGCATAAATTACCATATTCTTCCTATTATACCCTTGATGGAGTAGTTAATTAGTCTTGAAAATATATATTTTGACCAACCTAGGAAAACTAACAAGTAATTAATATTCATTGGAGTGCTTCATACATTGATTAATTACTCTCTCCATTCACTATTCTATAAAATCTGATTTTGAAAATAAACTCAAAAATTCAAGTCATCCAAATACTTTTAATTTTTGAAATCTAACATACTCATCATTTATTGAAAAGTTGACTTAAAGAAAACGTAATTTCTTAATGCAAGTGCAATGTATAAAAAGAAAGTAGATTGAGCGCAAAACAAAAAGCTGACAACCAACCGGAAGTTCTCAATGTAATATATTGTTTTAACCAGGAAACAAAAAACGTCAACGTATTTAAAGAGAACTGAAAACAGGGAAATCAAGTCGAGAACAACAGTGATACAAAATGATTACATGTAAAGCCCTTCAGGCACTCCCTCTTTCTTCTTGAACATGACCTTGTCCTTGGCCTTCTTGAAATCTGGATGAGTTACCTATAGACATATAATTATGTTGTTAAATAAACATCTATAGCACCAGCTACCAGGTATACTATCACTCAAAAAGTACCACACTCAAGATAACAGGAATACAAATTTTATGAATAAAATCAAAAAAATTATACGTAATTAATATACTTTGCCAGCAAAAGAACAGTGCAGCAGCAAACTATAGATGGATATTTGATCTTCCATTTCTTATGATCTTCTACTTTTTCCAGACTAGACATTCAACATGTGTCAAAGAAAATCATTGGCCCAAATTGGGCGAGTTTCAAAAATTAAAATATATTTCCAGTTTTTAATTAACATCCTGAACATGTTTCTGCAATCACAAATAAAAATCAAAACTTCCTCATTTTCAAGTCTCACCTTCATACGCCGCTCTCTTAAAGCGAGCAATCCAGCTTCGGTACATATTGCCTTGATATCAGCACCCGAAAACTCATCCTTGGTCATAACAAATTCTTCTAAATTTACATCATCAGCCAAAGTCATCCTTGCTGTGTGTATCTGCACACCACATATAAGATGGTTCATGAAACAGGATGTACACCAAACGCATCACACATAGTAATTTCATAATGCAATGCACAAACCTGGAAAATGCGCCTCCTTGTTTTGATATCAGGAAGAGGGAACTCAATTTTCCTGTCTATCCTACCAGGTCGAAGCAGGGCCGGATCCAGACTCTCAATTTTATTTGTGGCAAGAATCACCTTCACATCTCCTCTGGAATCAAAACCATCTAACTGGTTCAGCAGCTCCAACATAGTCCTCTGAATTTCTCGTTCACCACCTGAGTGTGCATCATACCTGAGGGAAGAACATATTAGTTGACACATACCACAAATTCCAACCTCAAAAACAGATTTCAGATGTTACCTTTTTGTACCAACTGCATCAATTTCATCAATAAAGACAATTGAAGGTGAGAGATCATCAGCAACTCTGAAGAGCTCCCTGACCAATTTAGGCCCATCTCCCAAATACTTCTGAATCAGTTCACTTCCCACAACACGCAGGAAAGTTGCTGAAGTGGAGTTTGCGACTGCCTGAATAAACAGGTTTAATAAAGCTTTGAGTATAATCTTATTATGGGCTAGAGACACACTATGTTCTGAAAGTAGATGAAAAGCACTCAATAACTAGTTGATTACAACTGTCTGCACATGTACACACAAGGACAAACAAATAACATGTATGGCATTAGTCGAGATACATTCTACCACAAAATGTATTGGAAACTATTTCAACGATTAGTCAAATATGCAAGTGCCCAAACCACCTGATTAAAATAGGACTTGACTACACGTTGCCACCTGACTGATAGCCTCTTAAGAGGTATGACAAGTATTTTATAGCTGTAGCACAAAGACTCTGCAAACTGTACTTCAAGAACATTGTTTACTAGCATTATATACTTGTTGATTCCAACTAGGGAAGTCAAAGCATAAATCACCCTATTCTAAGCTCAGCATACACAAAGGGGAATTTCACAAACCTTGGCAAGTAAGGTTTTGCCGGTCCCAGGCTCTCCATACAGAATTACCCCTTTCGGAGGTTTAATACCAATGTCTTCATATAACTCAGGATGAGTCAAAGGAAGCTCAACTGCTTCTTTAATCTCCTGAATCTGGGCATCTAATCCACCAATGTCAGCATATGATTCCAAGGGAGCTTTCTCAACCTTCATGACAGACACCATTGGATCAACATCGTCTTGTAGAAGCCCAACAACAGATAGAACCTGAATTGAGGAAATCATATTGTCAAAGTGACCCACTCTCAGACTTGCACACTTTCACCAATACTTCAAAGGAATAAAAAAAAAAGAATTGCAGACAAATTACTACCAAACAATCAAGATAACAAGTCAAAATAAATGGCCAAAAAGAATATTATGGAAGGCAAAAGTTTGGAAAGGAAATACAAAGGTAAATTAGCCAACTAAAGAAGTTTCCAACTAGTCAAAACCTCTAACCATCAAACTTGGTGAAAACATAGAAGCTCTCTTGTGTAATCAATGGCAGTAATATCGTCCAAAATCAAACCATGAATCTCAAAAAAATTCAACAGTTGTGCATCAATCAAATTGTGTTTCTGCCTAATGGTTCACAACATCCATTGAAGCAATTTCAAGGCTCTAAGACAAAAGTGTGATCGTGCCTACACAAGTGTAGGTTGAACCAGATTTGCAAATATGAGAACCTGTTTTCCACAAGGGGTGTCAAATCCACCAATTATAGGATAATGTCTTTCGATTAGACAAATCCAATCTCTACCTTGACTTCTTCATTTCTTTTACTCTTTTTTTTTGTGGCTATTTTATTGTTTTAATCAGTTTATTTCACTTCATTTCTGAAGTATTCAAATGACCATCACACTAGCACTTTGTAGCTTTCAAAACTTCAGACGAAGAAAATGATAGAAGGTGACCTTTCATTCCATTTGGATTCTGCTATATTCTAACAGCCATCCATAGTTTCCACTATGTAAAGAACACACAATCCAAAGGAAAGAAAAGAATCTTCAGATATGTCCTTAACATACCATGTAAACCATATTGGTGAGGAATTCCTCAAGGGGATGACAAGACTACTGACTAGGTATGAAGCACTTATTAACCAATGAGCAGAAATAGCTGATTAACCACTGAGCTGCCTCAACATAACTGAGGGATTATTGTTACCAACTACAAAGAACAGTTGCAAATGAACAAAATACAAAGCACATACTCTTAATCTATCACATCACACACTAAAAAACTGCTAATTAAAAGATCATTCATTTAGCATTATAAATACTCAGCCACCTAAAATACTACGATTCCAAACATAAATCAAGTGACTTACTTTTTCATACTTGCCACAATCCAAATTGCTAACTAGCCAAAATCTCAACAAGTAAAATCACAATCTGATAAATGGAAACGTAATTCTACCTACATTTTTTAATTCAAATACACACGATTCTCAAAGTTACCGAGGATTAGGTCTAAATTGTAACTATGAGGGAAAACTAAGTCTTGTTGAAACCCTAACAACTAAGAGGCTATCAAATATTTCAAAAAACTACAAACTAACAAAGTTCAATACCTTGTTATGCATCAAAATAGCACATCCTGGTTCGAGTTGATCTTTATCAACAAACGATAAGATCCCAACATAATACTCCGGTCCCACAGACGACGAAACAATAGCATGATTCTCATCAATAAGCTCCTCCAAATTCCCCACACTCATTGGAGATCCACGGAGATCATCAACTTTAGATCGATCCTCTTCAGTCTTCTCTTCCTGAGGTTTCAACCGTTCCTGATTAGCCACAAATTCTTCTTCCATTAACAAATAATCCTTAATTCTCTCAAGCTTTAGCAGACGAAGCTTGCTCTTGGTCAGCGGCGTAACGGCTGGTATCCGAGCTGCCGCTTCGGAACCTTTCTGTTTGCGCTGCTTCCGACCAACGCGTGCCGGTGGAGCAGCTGGTTCGAACTTCTTCTCCTTCTTGTCTCCATCGTTTTTCCGGTCGCCGGGCAATTGCCGGTTAAGTCCGCCGGGCGTTCCTTGACCCATGACTATTAGCTGTGACTGAGAAGAGAGCGGAGGAAAAGGGCTTTGGAAATAGGTTTCGGATTTTTGGGTTATGCTTTTCTTCCTTTCCAAGATATATACCAGATATGCGTGTTAAAAAGTACGATTAATTACATAAAAAATAAAATAAACAACATGATTCAACAAATTAAATTTCACTAACTATATAAATTTGTTTAAATTTATCATTTATAAATATAAAATTAAGTAAAATCATGTAAATCCCAACAAAAATCAAACATTAATGATTTCTTCTTTATGTTATAGTATCAGTGAACAGACTTTAATCGGTACTTGTTGTTGGTGGTAATGAGCACAAGCTAGTCCAAATAAGAAAAAATATATTGTATTTATACTAGTATCATTTCTACCTCCATTTCATTACAAAAAATTACTTCTACTCGGGATTAGCTCAAGTTAGATGGAGAAACTATGAGTGATTTAACGAAGTGAAAGTATACATTAACAGACATAGTTAAGGGTGATGTGATGTCGATCGTAATCTCAGTAATTGTTAAAATCGCTATGTGAGTGTGTTGAAAATTATTTTATTTTAAGAAAACAAGTTGATTGTATTTCAATTCCAACATCAGTGCTAGATTTAAAATGTCTACATGTTGTGCATTCACTTGTATTACATGAAAAATAAACAAAATTTAAGATGAAATAATCTCATAGGCAGCATCTTCACTTGAAAGCTTCTTTCATTGAAAACTTCAACTACATGAAAATGAACCAATATCTAAAGGAAAAATTAAGCGCAATCAGAAAGTTTAAATATAAAATTTAGGATAAATTACACTTAACACCACCTGTAATATGTGATTTAATTGCAGGTACATGGAAATCCTACACAAAATTGTTCACATTACACTTCACAGCTGCTGAACCATTTTAGTGGTGGAGATAAACCCATTCTTTCTCAAAAGAACCAATTAAGACTTATCTTTCCAAGCCAAAAGAGAAGTGGGAACTGAGCTAGGGCGATGAAGAGGAGGAGGTAATGATGCCGGCTTGAATCATACGTTCTCACCTCTGCGAAAAGAACTCTCTTCATTGTCTTCACTAAGAATATTCCCATGCATAAGCTTGTCCATGGCATCAAGAAGTAGTAAGAATGGCTCCATATAATTGTTCCAAGTAGAGCTATGGACAATCCTGCAAAAGCATATCCGGCGTATGACACGATGTCTAGGAGAGGAGCCTCTCCACTACCCAGTGAGAACAATGTCATCTTCAGCAAAGAAACCTCTAAAAACCAACCAACTAGCCCCTTGATGAATAGCCAATTTAGAGCTTCTGGGGTAAACCTGGAAGCAGACAAAAAGTTTCAGAATCTACATAAACCAAAGGAAGAGGAGGTAATGGAGGAAATTATTCCATATGCCAACAGTATTGCAAGTTACAGAATGTGACAGCATGCAAAAAAGGAAAGAGAAAAAGGTTTTTTGGGTGGGGGTGGGGGGAAAATAGGTACAGGCATGCCTAGAAGTCGTGGTATGTTACCAACTGTATCCCACCACTACTACAACATATCACTCCGATGGCCCAACTTATTGTCCTTTTTTTAAAATTTTGGATACTGAACCCCCACTTTACTAAAAGAAGTTCATTAAAAGAAGTTCAAATTCTTTGAAATTAACCTTGTGTTCACTTTTGAATCCACATTTGTTTCAAATATAATAAAATTTAAATGGAATCTCAACAGCCATGCATAGAACATAGCCAACCTAGGACATCTAAATTTCAGAGGAAGAGACAATAGGAAGAGGTGGTGATTCTCATTTAAAAGACAGTTACATGAAATAAGTACTTATGCTAACAACTTTAGTAAGTTCAGTTTAAGCAACAGCTTTGTCTTCAGTATGAGAATGTGACATTGTTGGCACTTTAACCAAAAATGAGATAAGCAACCACTAACCAAATTCCACACGGAAATTTGACAGTACAGAATCAAAGAACTTCTCATTATTGAGCACCAAGAAACCAGAGTTAAGAAAGCTTGAGAAAACACTGCTTACCTTCCCTGGAGACCCAACGATAAACCGGCAAGAACAACGTAGGTACCAAATGCCATGAATGGAATGTACAAATCTGGAGCATTAATATCAAAGATAGGGGGCTTATAGGATAGCCTGCCACCTACCGGCTCTGTGATTCTTGTCCAATGACCCTACAGACAAATGAAAAGGTAACAAATCATAACAATAAAAAAAATTATTGAGATCGTAATGTGACAATGAGAGAGATCAAGGGTTTCATGAGCTTACTCTGTGTAGGAATGGGAAAAGCACAACTTTCAATTTGTTTCTCACGTACTGGTCATTCACTTGGAAGTAGTACTGAGGATCGGAAAAATACCTACTTATCTGTTCAATCAAAAAGTTGTCAACTAGAATTATATTTCCATCAGAAAAGCTAGATCACTTTATCAAAATATCTTTCAGCAATAAACTATCCACAGACAGAACAGAAAAATGATTTGGACAAAGATGTTAAATCATGTACAGCTTCAGAGCACATTTAGTAAACTCTAACAAAGAGGCAAATGCTACACCATATCAAAGAGGAGGGGAAAGGGAATCTGGCTTAATTTTGTTTGAAGGGGGATTTTCCTGGCTACCTATGGCATAATCATTTGCATATCCACATAGACTTTCCGAAACCATAATCTTTTGATTAGTATGTAACCGTAATTCTATGGCTCACTATGAATCGCTAATAGTTCTTTTTAAATAATAAGGGCTAATTTCAATTTTTCATTTTTTGTGGAAGGTTTTCAACACAATTGACACATAAGGGCAAGGCTTTTGCTTTTGGAAACAATATAACTTGCACATCAGATTCAGTACCAGGAACCAAAGATAAACTAAAAGAGGCTAATCTTTTGTGTAGTCACCAAACATTCAATGCCTGCGATGCTAGTGATCCCCTCAAACCTGCTAATGAACCAACTTCCAAGAATTATGATTTGGAGGTTGGTCATTCCCACTCCAATTAAATTAGCTTAGCTAGACTTGAACCATATTGCATCAAAACCACTAATATAATTCCTTTCTAGCTTTCTCCCAAGTCTTGCTCCTACTGAGCATCACACTGTGCCACCCCATGCCCCATATCTCACCATCTGCTTCCAAGCTCAGCCAACATGAGAGGTCCTAATTCAACTTAAAGTTAATTTCTGCATAACTGCAGCTTAACACACTTGAGGAAATAGGTTAAACTCATGGTAACGAGCAGAATCAGATGACGTCACAAAAAAATACCTGCTCTAAATCATATTTTTCTTTCTTCTACTTTCGACCTCCCTTTCCATCTCTTATTTGGAGTAGATGGGGCTTGTCATCAGCCATCACATGCTTCCCCAGAATATTCTGTCCATCTGACTCAATCATCCAACAGAGTCCTCTACTTTTACCACTATAATTGAACATTTATCTACCTAAATATTAATAGGTTTTCCGTATCCTCTCTCTAAAATAAAAGAAATCCTGTCCACGTTAAAGTTAATCTTTTGAGTTTACTGCACAGTGGAGAGATGACCAAATAAGGGCATGGGGTGCTATCATTGCAGCAAGGAGTAAGGAAAAGTACATTATGAGAACAAATTTGTAAGTTGTAAAAATGAAGAAAGTAATAAGCAATTGGAGAATGTGAATAACTTCACCTAGCTACAATTGCTACTAAGTGACTAATCACTTATAGCTCACTTTGCTATTATGTATCAATGCCAGTTTGATGATGTCATCAAAGTGAAGACAAAATCGTAAATGCCATTTGAAATTTATTGATTTCAAAATAGTAGGAGAATTAACTACCAAGAAAGCAACAATGCAATAAAACGATACTATTTCCTTGCTGATTATGCCATAATGCACTTTCACGAACAAATAACTTCAGGAATGATTACGGAAAAAAAGTTCTTTTGGTAAGTGGCACAATGTAGAAATATGACCAGTCGATGAAGCAACTTACATTGCTTTGAACATATTCAGAACTGGAACCAAGGATTTTTTCTCCATAAGCCCCTAGTCCACTTCTGATGAACCCTGAGCTACCACCAGAGAAGGCATTTCCAAAAGGATTTGCCTGTATATTACCAGGCGGTCTTGGCACCCCAGACTGTGCTCCCAGGTTATCATACATTTCTGCAGGAGGATTTTTCTTTAATCAAGACAACTGTTAGTAACTCAACATAAGCATAATTCCTTTTTCTCACTGCTTGATTGAGTCTAGGATTATAAGCCAGTGAGTGCCTAAGTATCCAAAGGCAAAAAGAAATAGGATTGTAAGGCATAAACTAAAACTATCAAACAGGGAAAACCCGATTTTCTAACATCACAAATAGTGCTAGCAGGCAGCCCACTTATTCCAGGTATCTCATGTTGCTATAAGCTAATGCATACCAAAGATAATTATCCAGCTCAATTCAGAAACTTCACTTTTCCCACCCAACATTGTTTAGCCGATTTTATCATTAAATAAATGCTACTCCCAGCACACCACAATAAGTGCATCACCTCAATACAAAGATATTCGGAGAAGGGACAGGCAAAGATTTAGTAGTCCAAAAGGTCTGTAGATCCAGAAAACGACTCCATCACTTTGTTTAAATCAGATCACACTTACATTTTATCTTTTTATCAAATCTAGTTTCGTTTGAGCCCAGATTCCCATACAAATTTATCTTCTTAAAATTACTTCCATTAATAATTTTTTCTGCAGGATAAGAGCTAATTCATCACTTAATTGAAATTCCATCACCAAAAGTAAGAGAATTCCTCAGGTTACACGTACCTTTTGCAACTCTTTTGTTCTTTCAACAACAAAAAATAAAAAGAGATTTTCGGATTAAATAATTCCAGTACATCATGAAAAAGGTTCATGCGGCATAGGTACAACATAGACGGCCTTTTTGCTGGAAACATCCATCAATCAGTAATTCCATTTCACAAATCACTATGACTTACATGCCAAGCAACTACCGATGCAATAGAGAGAGAGAAAACAAGTGATAAATCGAAGATTAAAATCAATAGCTTAGATTACCAGGAAAATGCAAAAAAAGTGCGACGAAATATAGATCTTCTGGTGTTGACTGTTGATGAAGGAAGCAAAAGAACTAAGAACCAATAATGGAGATCTGTGAACGATAAACTCTCAGAATGAAAAAAAAATGAATTGAAAGGAGAAAATATCGAAGACTTACAAATTGAAACTCTGACTGAAGAACAGATGGAAGCGAGTCTGCAGAAGAATTACAAGAGGCCTGAATTTACAGTTAACTCTATTAACTCCAGATTTCAGAGTTCTAAAAATCGGGTCGGGTCGGGTCCTAACTTCATTTCAAACGCAAACCCGTATATCACAACCCGACCCACTAGACTCCTTCTTCTTATTTTTTTCCTCTTTCTTTATTATAATCAAAAAGTTCTAGAAAGTAAGTTAATACGATTTAAAATTCATTAGTAATCTCTAGTTAATCAAGTGTTATCTATGATAAGAATTGTCTTCTTATAATTTCTTTCTTCTTTCGATCTATAGAGACAACATCCTTTCTAGTATAATTCTCGATATCATATTAAACAAACATTTATAACATCAATGAAAGAGAACAAAATATTTTTTGTAGTGCCCAAAGAAGTAATATATATCCGCATTAGATGTTTATGTCAAATTAAGGAATTAAGATACAATACAATTTGCATACACATTTCTTTAATCTTCTTAGAAACAAGAACTTACGAATATAGCGCAGCTCATAATGATGATTACTCCTTTCATTTCCATCCAAATTTATGTAATGTAATGGCGTTAGACTATACACAAAATTTTAAAAATAAAAGGCTTATAAAACTTGTAATCTAAACGAAGAATGTTATTCCTTTTTGGACGGACTAAAAAGAAAATAGTCTTTACACAAATTGAGATGGAATATTTTCTGGTATTCAACTTCAAACTTCGGTGACAACAACTCGTCCCTCCATCAGAGACTTGAATCATAATAGGATTCGAACTCGTGACATACACCTAATCTAATCAAGCACCTCGAAGCAAAAATTAAGGTCAATCTGGAAAAAAATTACAGATGGCAATACTTGTAATAGAACACCTTTTCCCAGATATAATTTGATTTGTTGGGGTAAAAACATTGGAGCTTAAGTACAACCAGCTCAACTGTTTCTAGGGGAAAAACTGAACTTGGAGAGGCAAATCACATCTTTATATGAGATTATTGTTGGACTAGATCTTTTTGAGAAGCTCTAAACCTTCACACAAGCAAGTGCGAGAGAAGGAGAGCACAATGGTACTGCTTCCGTCTGCCTTTCTCCACTTAAATACCAAAACATGATCGACAACAAGATCAGAAACTCATGAAGCAACTAAGGATCATCATCATAAGGTTCATTTAAAGCTGGTGAAGAAGAGAGTTCCAAAATAGAAAATCCATTGGTTTGAAACTCAGCCAACTCAGATAAATGAACTTGTTGTCCACACATGATATTTCCCCTCAAATCCAAATGCTCCAGTTTACCTAATCAATAGCAAAGAAAAAGGTCAATGAATCCCACAATTAAATGACACAGAAGGCGCAGAAAGCTTTTGACATGCATTTACATATCCATGTCAACTCACATGTCATTTCTAGTTTCTCAAAAAATTATAGAAACATACAACATACCCAGTGTAATCCCACATGTAGAGTCTGGGGAGTGTGGTGTGTACATAGTCATACCCCTACCTTGTGAAGGCAGAGAGGTTGTCTCCGGTAGACCCTCGGCTCAAGTAAAGTATAATAAAATCAAGTATGGAGGAGGGGGGAGTTAATATAAACATGAAGCCACTAGAACCTAATGTTGTGCTAAAACACGAATAGAAAACTGGAAAGTGCAGTAGAGAGCTAAAAGAAAAAAAAAGGAAAAGTTAACTAAGCAAAGCTAAGTTGAGAGCAGAAGTGATTGAATTTCCACCAACTTGTGTGAAACTAAAACTGAGGCTCTTATACATCTCAATTCCCTCCACAATTTCAGCCAACTAACTAATTGTAACTAATATTTGAACTCAAACTCATAAATTTAAATTTTACCTTTCCTGCCAATTTTTTTAAAGCTAACAATTGAAATTAACATAACAAATATTTGAACTTCTTTTCACACCAAGTCCAGCTTGGCATGCATATTTGTGTATTATAGTGACTACTAAAAAGAACCTCTAAATTGGGAATCTTTTCATATGGGAGAAAGCCTGTGGCATAACGTTGTTAGCCTGAGTCCACTTCATAAGGAAACAGCAGGTTCAAAACTCCAGGGAGTATGGGCCTGCTCCTCTACCCTCCTCCGAACTTAAACACCAAATGTTTGTCCACGGCATGATTCAAACTGTGAAACCGCAAACATGTGTGTATCGACGCTTCCTGTGTTGCGTATTAAATAGGAAAAATTATTCTTCTCGAGTGTTTCTGTCTATTTTTCTTATTTAAAGGGCTAAAATATTTTCATTAGCAACACTAGCTCCATTATGGAGTAACTTATCTTTTGTTGGGAGAACGATAGATCTTAATATTTTTTTTTTTTTTTAGAAAGATAGAACTTGATAATTTTATATAATAGTAGATTTCATTCTTCAATTTCACATGCTTGATATTTTATGTATTCATTGTCAGGCTCTTGTAGATGGGTTGCATTCATCTCTAGTGCTATTTTCTGATAGAATTTTACATTCACTTAACCAAAAGAATCAGCAAAAGAGATATGTCACATGCTAAATAGAAGGTTGTGACTTTGTCACAATTTATCGACCCATTATTAGTAACTGACAAAAGGAAGAAACTTACGCAACAGAGAGAAACCAAAACGAGAGAAGAAACTGAGAATTAGAATGTTGTACCTTTTGCAGCTTTTACAGCAGAGGAAAGGATTGACAAAGATTCTTTGGGCATAAAGTTGTATTTTGCGTTTACTGTTGAAAGATCTGGTGCATAAGAGAAAAGCTTTGACAGAAATCTTGCAGTTTCAATTCCACCTCGATTCTTGCTGCATAAGTTTAATGAACATGTTACTCTCAGTTCAAAATCCATAAGCTAAAGTTCAATGAAAACTCCATTTAACCTTATGTTGATTGAGTGGAGCTTTGTTTCCGTTACTATCTCTTGGCCTGCTCTCATGAAGCCAGAAGAACCTAGTCCAATGTCTTCAATATCAAGAGCTTGAATACCTCCGCATAGAAACTTCCCTAGTGCTGTTCCTATCTCACTACAAAAAAATTGGGAAATGAGAATATTAAAAAACTGTTCCCATGGAAAAGGTTGGAAGCATCAAAATTTTGAAAGAAAGCTTGGAAGTGTCAAATGAGGGTAAGAAAGGGTATATATCGCACAGACAAGCTTCTGCAGTATAAACAGTGTCAAACGAGATGTAATTTAGCAAAGATTAAAAGGAGATCTGATGTCTAAAAAGTCAGCAAGAAACTAAATGCAACAGGTTCTCAGATTTTGGTGATCCTATTACAGAGTTAACTTCATAACAAAGGGAAAACTATCAAAGCACCAAATAATGAAAAAGCCTGATATACAACTCCCGGGACAAAAGGTAAAGATTAGATTTGCAGCAAATTTTCCATGACGGCATTCACCTTATCAGTCCAAGCAGTTTAACATGGGATCAATTTAACCCAGAACAAGGCTTAAAATGTCTCCCAACTTTAGTTGATAAAGTGGAACAGTAAACTCTTACAAACTTAAAGCACAAAGAAAGCATGTGAAGGCCAACTGATAAACTAACTCTCCAGGTCATTTGTGGTTTTCCCTCGGAAAATATCATCTATTTAGGAGAAGAATTACGGAAGTTGAATATAATTTTGTAATTGTATCCATTTTACCAACCTGCCAAGAGAGTTGCCTCCGATCGAGAGAAAATTCAGTGGTTTTCTCAAAGATGAAAGAGCTTCTAGAAGTTCACAAACTCCAAAGCATGTAAGCTCACAACTTTCCAACTTCAATTCGACAAGGGGGAAATATTTATGGGACGTCTCTTTGAAGTAGGGGATTAGACACCTGAAAGAAAAACGCAATTGTGAGACCTTAGCAAGTTGGTCACTGAATACTGATGGCTAAATTCAATAAACCTGATTCCAGAAGTCTCGATAGGATTATCACTGAGATCAAGTTGCTCCAGATTAGGTATGTGGACTAGAGCATATCTGAGACAATCCACATCGTCCATCTGTAGATTGCAGTTCCTGAAGTTGGAGAACCAAGTAAACTTTGTATTGCAGTGAAGATGACAATACAAATACACCTTTCGTGATTCATTAAGTCAGTTGTGATTAAATTTACTGTGGAACTGCTTATGCTAAGGCAGTTCAGTATGAGAAGAGACTTCTTTGAGGCATGAATAGAAAAGTCAAAGCATACCTTAAATTAAGCTCCTTTAATGACTTCAATGAATTATATGTCCCAGATGACTCTGTACTACTTCTGTTCTTATATTTAAAATGAGAAAGCCATCCCGCGATCTGCAGTGTGAAATTTTCTATAGGTCGATTGATGCTTACATCAGTATAATAGAACAAAAGCAGAGCAAATATTGTTACTCACATTGTTTTCTGAAAGGTCCAGAACGGTAATACTAGATGAAGCATCAACGAGGGTATCAAATACTTTCCTCGCAAAATGGCGAGGAAGATGGTTGTCTGATAAGCATAGTGAAGACAAGGACCTAGCAGAAACACGATGCACAAATGTAAGTCTATGGAATCATTTAGTGGGTTACAGTAGATGGAATATACCATGTTGCACAGAATGTAAGTCTATGGAATCATTATGAGTATAAAGCATAGAACAGTTAAATAAAGAAGCTGATGGAAGCTGCAGTGAAATCCGCTATACCTCCCTGATGATAGCAAAGATATCAGTCCAGCTGGCAAGGATTGAAAGTTGTTCTCTAGGAAGCTTGATGTCTTGATTGAGAAATGTTGCATCCCAAGTGCTTGAGGACTGTGCATGCATAGCAAGTCACAAATTGCATCAAGAGAAGAAACTGTAAACTTGCAATGCATGAATTTAATTGACTTTAGGGATCGATAGTTCTGGCTGATGAGTTTGCATAACCCCTCGACCTGTAAGGTTGAAAGCCACAGGAAAAGCAGTGTAATAGTTAATTCTTCAGCATAACAAGTTCTACTCCAGAAGATATAACAGTTCAAAACAAAGAAATGTTTGCAAAATTCATTTTTACTACAGATGCCAAACAGAAAATACACAAGCACTTGAGACAACAATTATGTTTCACACATTTAG